AGACTGTCTAGAAGAAATAAGTGGAAAGGGAATAATTAGGATGTGACGAATCATTGCCAGATTGCAGTTTCTCAGAAATGAAGACAAATGATAGTAGAAATCAATAGGATTAGATATAGAAACACTTATTTACAGACATTTCTTTGAGAGTTCAGCTGCAGGGACTCCAAATTAGATTTATTCAGACTTGCTAGTCAAAATAAGATAAATGCAGAGAAAGGGTCAGTATTTCGGTTCAATGTAAAGAAGGATTTTTCCCCAGCCATTAAAAATGTTTTCATGTCCTTTGGGTAAATACCTAGGAGTGGAATTGCTGGATCATATGGAAGCTCTATGTTTAGTAGGTCAAGAAATCTCCACACAGCTCTCCATAGAGGTTGGACCAGTTTGCACTCCCACCAACAGTGCAGAAGAGTTCCTTTTTCTCCACACCCTCGCCAACATTTGTTGTTGCTAGTTTTTTTAATATGTGCCATTCTCACTGGTGTAAGATGGAATCTCATGGTAGTTTTGATTTGCATTTCCCTGATTACAAGTGATGTTGAACATTTTTTCATATGCCTGTTGGCCATTTGCATTTCCTCTTCAGAGAAGTTTCTTTTTAGCTCTTCTGCCCATTTTTTGACTGGATTATTTTCTTTGTTTTTGTTGAGTCTCATCAGCTCTTTGTAGATTTTTGTGATCAGTCCTTTATCATTAGTGTTATGTGCAAAAATGTTCTCCCAAAGAGCACCTGCACTCATATGTTTATAGCAGCGCTATTTACAATAGCTAAGCTTTGGAAACAACCCAAATGCCCAAAAATAGATGACTGGATCAAGAAGATGTGGTACATATACACCATGGAATATTACTCAGCATTCAAAAAAGATAAACACATGCAATTTGCAGCAACATGGATGGAGCTGGAAGGGATCATGCTCAGTGAAATAAGAAAGAAAAAGAAAAATACCAGATGGTCTCACTCATAGCAGGAATCTAGAAAACTTAAATAAGGGACCAGGAAAAAGAATAACTATAAGAAAGAAAATATCAAAATCAACAAAGAACTATGAACCACGGACACTTTATGGGGGTGGGGCGTGGGGAAAGGAGGACTTGGGATCAAAATAAGGGGGTTGTAATTGTATGGAGAATATAAAAATAAAATTTAAATAAAAAATAAATGTTTTCAATGGATTTGGTTACTTTCTGCTTTAATAACTCAAGTCACTATGGGGCCCCATCAGAGATCATGCCACTGCGGTAGAGTTGATGACACTCCATGTATTCCTCTTTCTGTAGTTCCATTCTAGGTGATGGGATCACCATAGTCCATCTTATCAATATCAGTTGGTAATCTAGGGGTCTTCTTGTCTTATTCCACCTTCTCACACTAAATTGGGTACAAATGAAAACTTTAGACAAATACATAAATGTTCCAAGTATCCCCTATCTGTCAGCACTCACATTGTCATCATCTCTTCAAGATCTTGTCATCTGCCATTTCATCTATCATAACATCTTCTTTATTAAATTCCAATGTTGTTATTCTTGCTTGCCCAATCCTATTGATAGTGTTATAGCTCAGGTTCATAGCTCAGAGCCTCACACCCCACTCAATAAATTCTTAATGGATGATTGAATGAAAAATGCATTATAATCAATGTATAGTAAAATGCCAATCAATATGTACCTTTCCCCATGTAGCCCACACTCCTTCTTTATGCACAAAACTCAAATCCTTTAACATGATATGAATTTCACAAATGTCTCCAACAATATTTATACATGCACATCTTTCTACTAAATTATTCTCTTCCTGTTCTTTTTATCTTATGGACATAATAAACATGTAACCAAATTTACCAGCAGGGATTTTCATGGAAATGTTATCAAATAGGAAGTATCTATTACTGGTGTATATTAGATCCCAAATGTATGCATGGATTTGAACTAGAATGATGGTTTTCAAATATTATTGCTCATCAGAATCAACTGGAGGACTTGCTAAAACACAGATCGATGAGTTCCTCTTCCAGAATCTATGACACAATAGATCTGGAGTTGGGCCAGAGAATTTGCATTTCTGTCCATGCCTGGATGCTGCTGCTGGTCTAGAGGATCACTGAGCTGGATTACCCAAAAACTCCCTTTAGCTACGATAGTCAATGATTTGAGTATTATAAATATCTGTAAGGCATTTGCTTAAAACTCAGGATAACTTTATCCAAAAGGACATTACTTGAAGTGATGATTTTGTTTCCAAGTGAATCAGAAAAAGTTTAGCAAAGCTGTAGAAGGAATGATAGTATCTGAGGGGCCAAATTTTTATACTTTGGACCTCAGAAAGAAAAGAAAGAAAATCTATCACTGGTCCTGCATAGCTATTAAGTTCTAACATTCTAGTGGTTAAGAGTATGGGCTTTGTGGTTATAAATATCTATGTTGAGGTCCAGGCCTGCCACTACTGTGAAATCCTAGGCAACTCATTTAACCTCAATGAGCCACAACTTCTTCATACTTGAAATGCAGTTGGTAATAGATCTAACTCACAGGTTCATCTAGAGGAATAAACAGGTTAATGTATGTAATGTGCTTAGCTAGATGCCTGAAACATAATAGAAGTATAATCCATAATGCTTTAAAAGTTCAGCAGCTAAGAATGTTGGTCAGTGGAATCACTTGGCAAGGACTGTAATTTATCCATTTTCATGAGATTCAGTTTTCCTTATGAGTACATATTCTATCCCTTGACAAAAAAAGAAAGTTCTTTTAGTTTTCATCAACTTGCCTTGCTTCAGGGTGCATCTACTTTCTAAGAACTTGTGTGATGTCTTGGGTAATGTTTGTGGAGATATCATTAATTCTAGGTCATTAACTATTGTCAGAGCACAGTGGAAATTTCCCCCACCCCTCTGGGTTCTTCTGAGGCTGAATGAATGAACACACACATTAACATCAGACAGATCAGTGGGAGAAAAAGCCAAAATTTTGTAACATATATATGGGGAATTTACATGGCTGTAGATTCTAAGGTGAGATGGGAGCAAATGAAGAAATTATATCTTGTACTAAGGGACCCAAGGCATCGAGAAAAGGGAAACATTCCAAACCATCGATCACTTCAAGTTCTATTTTTTGTCATTTGCTTCCTTACCACACTTGGAGACAGGAAAATCTCAGCTGCTGTTTTGTTCTACCAAGGATTTGTCTAAGAACCTTCCTCTGTGGTTTCCTAGGGAGCCTGGGAGATTGTTGCCCTGTTTTAAGCCTCTCATTGTAGGTTTGGGCCCTGGGATCTGCTGAACTCAGTGTGTTGCTCTGCCACTTCTATTCCGCTACTCCTGGGCCTTGCTTGGAGAGGGGACTGGGTCTCACTGCTTTCTTAAGACCCCACCCAGAAAGGGAGACCCAGAAATCACCAAAACACTTGGAGGGTCCATTTCCAGGCCAGGTTGGAAGACTGAGGAAAAGAAGCAAGGGACAAGGCCCGTTTCTCTGAAAACCTTGAGTATCTGCATCTCAGTTCCCTTGTTGCCACTCTGAGTAGCTTTCCCTCCCCCTAGCTCAGGCTGTTTTTTTTTTTTTTTATGAAACTTTTTTCATTTTCTTACATTGTTATTCATTTTTGTACAATATTTATTACCCTCAGGTGTAGTCCCATAAATCTGCCACCACTACATCACCCATGAACCATTGCCATAGACCCTTGTGCTCTTCCTTCCCCTGTTTTAACCACCCCTCCCTCCCCTTCCCTTGCTGTATGCTTCAGATCTATAGTTTGAAGCTCAGGCTAATTTTATCTCATTCCAGGAATGAGCAAAATTGATTCTACCAAATTTAAGCTTTTCCCTTATCCTTGGGCCTGGCTTTTGAAATTCAAAAGTCAAAAACATGATGATTGTAAAATTTTCATTCTGTCCTTGAGGCATTGAAAGTTATTGTCCAAAAAAAGAGAGGCAAAACTGTGGCAAAGAATATAAAACATAGGAATAAAGACACATAATATAATACTTTAACATTATTGGATATCATTGTCATTAATCATAATCACTGTCATCACCCTTATAATCATCATCCGCATCATTTCTCTTTTACTAAGTAGACCTATATTTTTGGGGTACAGAACACATTGGAAATTTCCACCCTATCTCTACTTCCTTACCCTCCTTCAACCTCACACCAGTATATCAATATGCAGGGCTTTTCTGCACACATTTCCTTCAACTGGAAAGGGTAAGAACTATTTTACACTCAACTAATTTGTAGTGGAGTATGAAAAGTACTTGACTACCTGTTTCTACTGGAGACTAAAGAAAGGGGGAAAGAGAATCACTCTCAATCTTACAATAAAAAAAGCCTGACAATTTTGTGACTTTTTTTTTTAATATTCAGAAAGCTCGTTTATTTATTTATTTATTTACATCATTGTTCATTTTTAAACAATATTTGCTTCCCCCCACCCCCTCAGGTGTAGTCCCCATAGAGTTTCCTTCACCAATGCACCCGTGCACCCTCACCTCAGTCCCTTGTGCATTTTCCTCCCTCCCTCTGATCCCTCTCCCTCCTCCTCCCCTGCAGAATGTCTCTGATTTATAATTGTCTGTTTTTGCTTTGTTGTGTTTTGTACTGTTATTTTTTTACACTGATGTCTTATTGAGTTCCCCTATATTCCTGCTATAAGTGAAACCATCCGATATTTTTCTTTTTCCTTCTGGTTTATTTCACTGAACATAATTCCTTCTAGCTCCATCCACATTGCTGTGAATGGCATGAGTTTATCTTTTTTGATTGCTGAATATTATTCCATTGTGTATATATACCACACCTTCTTGATCCAGTCATCTGTTTTTGGGCATTTGGATTGTTTCCAGGTTTTACCTATTGTAAATAGTGCTGCAATAAACATAGGTGTACAGGTGTTCTTTTGAATCAATGTTTTTGTGTCCTTTGGGTAGATCCCTAGTAGTGGAAATGCTGGGTCGTGAAATACAACTTTTTTTTTTTTAACTCTACAGGAGCACTGAGGCTACAGGACAACCAGAAGGCCTAAAAATATCAGAGACAGATGTCAGTAGTGATAGAGGTAAGCTGGCCCTGACTTAACTGGAGAAGATGTGATTGGACAACAGGAGGAAGATTGTGAAGCTCCTGGAGAGCTTCAGAAAAGGGGGTTTCTGCAATTTCTTCAAGGTGTTTCCCATGAACCTCACTGAGTCTCATAGAAAAGATTGATGAGAATGCTAAGAAAAGTGTCCCTTAAGTCACTGATGGAGGGAAAGGGAAGACCAGGGGATGAGGGAGCGTCACAAAACTCTAAGACCCTTATCTCGTCTCTCACAAAAAAGTCTAACTCTATGGGAAGGACGACAAACGTGCTTTAAGACATTGGTGGAAATACCGGATGGTCTCACTCATAGCAGGAATCTAGAAAACTTAAATAAGGGACCAGGAAAATGAATAACTATAAGAAAGTGAAAATCAAAATCAACAAAAAACTATGAACCAGAGATACTTTTTGGGGGTGGGGGGCGGGAGGGGAGGGATTGGGGTCAGAATGGGGGGGGTTGCAATTGTATGGGGAATATAAAAATAAAATTTATTATTTAAAAAAAAAAGAAGAAAGGTAAAATGTGGCTGTGCTTTCAGGTAGCTCATAGTCTAATGGAAAAGTCAGAATAACAAGCAGGCAACTGCAACACTGTGTTGAAATATCACACATAAGAGCTTTAAGAGTATATTCAGGAAGTGTATTTACTTCTCAACGGAAGGGTTCAGGGAAGGTTTTGTAGAGTAGGTGATATGTAGATTGATACTCAAAAGGATAAATCCTGCCATTGCGGGAAGGAACGGAAGGCCGGGGAGAGAGTGGAGGCAGCATAGAAAAGAAAAAAAAAAAAAAAAAGACATTGGTGGAAATCTATTATCGCTAAGAGAAGGGGACAGAAAGGACAAAAACTCCTATACTTGAGGGGAAAGTAGGAAGAGTGTAAGGAACAGGCTGTAGCTGACAGACAGAGGAGGAGAAGAAGGAAGGGAAGTAGAAGGTCACAATTCTGAAACCCCAGGTTATGGAGCTTGTCAAAATGTTGAGGCTTCATGAGAAAAAGAGAGACTCCTCCTCCTTACAACAGGCAGGCTAGTAAGCATTAAGTAGCAAATACTCATGGAATGCTGCTGGGAAAGAAATAGAAGAGGAACTCAAAATAGAGACCTTCTCTGAGGCCCAGTGCAAAAGGAATAGCTAAACTGATGGTATTCCTTGGTAGAGAAGACTTTAACATTAACCCTTTTGCAAATTAGTCCATACCCTAAATACAAGATATCACTGGATTAATTTGAAGCCTGTGGTATAATGAGGGAGAACATAGCAACATCAAGCTCAGCCTTTCTAGTTAGAATACCCCAACATTAATTGCAGATACCAAAACAACACAAATTCAGGAAGTTCTGAATTTCCCATGCAGAGTAAATGCCAAACACATATAAACACACATCTGGTCATTCAAACCATATTTAAACCACTAAGCCCGCACAAAAGAGATCTTGAAGACAGTCAAAGGGAAAAAAGATACATGAGGAAAAATAAAACAAAAAGTGATAAGAATTCCAATAGATCACTTGTCACAACCATGATTTCAAAAATAAGTACAGACTTAACCAGACAAAAACTGAGGGAATTCATTGCCAGCAGACTTAATATACAAAAAATGTTCAAGGAAGCTGTTCAACAGGCAAAAGAAGTATGATATGAGACAGAAATTTAGATCAACATAAAAAATGAAGAGCTCTGAAAATAGAATAAATGAAGGTAAAATGAAATTGACTTTTTTTTTTATTTAGCTGCTCTCAAAGTTAAACTGTCTAATGCAAAAATAGAAACAATGTGTTGTATTTTTGTAGCAAATGTAAAAGTTAAAATATCAATTGAGCAAGAATGAAAGGAAGGAGTACAGAATATTCTGTAATCTTTAAATTCATATGAAATGGCCTATTGTTTGAAAATAGATTCTGATTAATGCTAGATGCTGTAAATCTTAGAGTAACCACAAAATATTTTGGTGAAATCACACAAATAATAAGCCAAGAGAGGAGATAAAACTGAATCATGAAACATGCTCTATTAACTCAAGATAAGTCATAAAAATAGGAAAATAGAAAGAAAAATGTCAGATACCTAGTGCTAGCAAGATGATAGATTTAATCTAGTCATATTGATATCATATTAAATGTGAGTGGTCTAAACACACCAATAAGAAATGAGAGTCAACTCTATTCTGCCTGCAAGAAACCAAATTTAAATATATAGACAAAAAAAATGTAAATAGAGTGCTGGATAAAGATATACCATACAGATAATAATGAAAATGAGTAAGAATATATTAAGGTCAAACAAAATATAATTCAGAGCAAGGGATATTATAAGGAATAACAAATAGATAACAAATAGATAAAACTCTGAGGATAAAACTTTCCAAGAAATTATGAAAATCCTGAATACATATGCACCCAACAGTAGCGCTTCAAAATGTGTAAAGCTAACACTATAGATTTAACGGAGAAATGGTCCTCCCCTGGTGGCGCAGCAGTTGAGTGCTGGGTTGTGAAGCTGCCCAAAGCCTCTGCAGTGCCGGTTCGATCCCTGGCCACAGGCGAGGGTCCCACATGGCGCACAGACCTCTCCTGCTGCTCCCGCTGCTCCCCTCAGCAGTGTACTTCGTCATTCTGCCTGTTCTGCTCCCTGCTCTGGCTCTGGTGAATTCTCTCACCCCCACACCTCTGGCCTGTACCCCAGCTCTTGTATGCATAAATAAATAAATCTTTAAAAAAAAAGAATTAAAGGAGAAAGAAATACATGTTTGAGTGCACTAATTGTAGGTTGATTCCTCCGGTGTTTTTTTAAACAATTCCCTGGAGCAGATTAGAGAATGAGAGTTAAATGGAGATAGGAAGTCAGAGTTACAAGCAATCTTGAAGATGTACCTCAGTAATTTGTGAAAATGTTGGGAAAACATCAGAATCTTCAGGAAATGGGACAGGCGTAGGAAAGAAGGACCAGCCCCACCCCATTCCCTCCTGGGTTCCAGGAAAGAAGAGGTTTTGGCTCGCTGGGCAGATTATGGTTTGGAGATAAAGGCCATTACCTCAGAGGCACATTCTACAAATGATATGCTGGAAAGACAGTTAAACCAAAGCTCTGTATAACTCCCAGAAGTTGTACAAGGTATCCCCTTCGTATGAAAAGGGGGGATGCCAGTGAATTACGAAATTGATGTTTGTCTCTGCTTTTGGCAAAGAATGAAATCTTGCATAGTCCAAGAAGAATTGCCAATTTGACTTAATTTCTGTGTTTTAAAATCCCTCAGAAAAACATGAGCATGACCTTACACCCTGTATTTTAAAAAGAAAGCTTCTCAGACTGAAAAGAGCAGCCCAGAGCTGCTTGTTGTCAGACAGCTCTGCCTCTGACAAGAGGTTAGTGATCCCATCAGGGGGATAGTTTCAGCTTCAGCAAGGCTGATTTTAGGGTGAAACTGACACGTTCAGGAAACTCAGTAGAAACTCTTGGGGGAAGAGGACAAATATCTAATTGCTTTGCTCACAGTTCTGTAACTTTGTTGGAGCTCTGTGCTTGTTTACACCTGGGGACACATTAATAATTACTGGACTATTTTATTGAACAAAATTCAGCTCTTGGAATGCCAGAGGGTTCCTTAGCAGCATTGGCCAATGTGAAAAACAGTATCAGAACACACTGTTAGAGCTGAGAGACCTAAACTCCATGTTTTCAACCATATTCCAGAGAGCCTGAAGATTCTGAAAAGGTACTTAGGCATTAAGAGAAGGACAGGAAAGCTGAGGGAACAGAGTTCTAAGCTGTCTCTCATCCTCCCAAGCAGAGAGTTCTGTCTGTTTTTTATTTGGATAGGGTTCCATATGAGGTTTCATTTAGTAGAAATTAGCTTTTCCTTCAAAGCCCAGATTGACGATTTGTGATTCAGTCCAGGGGTTGCATTTTGTTGTTGTTGAAGAGCCGAAAAGTAAATATTTTAAACTTCGGGGCCAATATGGTTTCTGTCCTTGTGGAATAAACCACAAGTCTTTAATAAATTGAATACTGTGTCAAGCATGGAGGATATTCTAAATTATAACTTTCTAAATACATGTGAAACTATTTCACCCCTACTTGGTTGTTTGGGGCTCCTTGTACAAATAGACTTGCTATTTTGCTTATTTAAGCAAATAATGAGCTATTATACTGCCGAAGATAAATGACCTGAATTACCATGAAGTTACTGGGTTGTTTCTACATAATTGTGCCAACAAGGGTAATATCTGGAAATCAGTGGATTCACTGGGAAACCCATTGGTGCTCCCAGTTTCCGGGGAAACCACACTTGTACATTATAACAACCATGGAATGAAAAAGGTAACCAGTTCTGTTGTCCCATGCATGAAAGTGTGGTTACCCTGCCAGACAAGCAACCTAGACTAGGCAGAATTTCCGGTTCAAGATAAAGGGAGTCTAGAGCAGGTGGTATAAAATGAACTGATGAATATCATTTGAATGTGAAATTATAAGAGCAGAACTACTTGAGAGGCCCAATCCATAATCTTTCTGGCTTTATACTTTGATGTACAGTAGCACTAACCGAAACTTCTTTTCTTGCGGGTTTTTTGGTTTTGTTTTCAAAGCACAGTTTGCTCCCTCCAACCTAACCCCATAAATGCTAGGGAATTAACACCCCTTGGAGGAAGTGCTTAACCAGTGACTGAACAAAATCAGGTATCTCAGTTATCTCACACCATAAATGGTAAGTCAGAAAATCAGAAGGCAAGCATTTCACACTGGCTCCCAGAGCTTGTGTTACCAGGTTTTGGGGTTCCTTGGCTTTTGACTATAGCCATGAAAGAATTCAAAGCCACAGATAGGCAAAGCAAAACAAAGTTTATTTAGAGACAGTACATCTGAGAAGAGGTCTGAGTGGGCAGAGTCCATCGAAGAAGAATATTTAGGGATAGAGGGAGACTCCTGATATAAATGGGGTGTAGGGGGTTACTCGCTTCATCCCTTCCTGGAGTTTA